CTCATTGTAGAGATAAGGGCTCTGAGGTCCAGGGAGACTCAATTACTGGTATAACATCACACAGCGGATGGAGAGTCAGGACTAGAATCAAGGTCTCTGGACAGAGCAGCCTCCTTCAACTACCTAAAAGTATAGTCTCCTGCCCCCACCCCGTCAGGTGCAGTCAACCAGTGGAATCGTGTTATCTCCAGGTGTGGGTACCCATTTGGTCTGTAGCCATTGGCTCTAGGATTCTCTAGCAATCTGTTAACCCACTTTGCTATTTGATGTTATCAATTAGATTTCAGATGTGTCTGGTAGAGGGTACAGTGTCCAGTACTAAATGCTTCCTAACTGGACAGCAGTGGAACAACACAAAGATTGTTTTTTGCTAAAATTCAGCCAAGTACCAGGAGTGGTAGGACTTAAGGGAAGGGAAAGGGGCAGAATAAAGCTCCTTGAGGTCATTCTGAAGTAAGTAAAAACAATCCTTTGAATTTAGATATCACCACACACGATCTGTTTCTAACACTCACTTGTCAAATTAAAGAGAGACCCAATATCATTGTTACATTTTCTGGTCTCCTAGCTGTCCATCAATGTTTTGTGTTCCTTTTTCATGAATGTCTTAGTTTGTTCAGGCTGCTACAATAAAAATACCATAGACAGAATACTTTACAAACAAAAGAAATTTATTCCTCACAGTTCTAGAAGCTGAGAAGTCCAAGACTGAGGTTCGGGCAGCTTCAGTGTCTGATGAGAGCCCACTTTCTTGCTCATAAGAACCTTTCAGTTGTGTCCTCACAGGGTGGAAGGGGCCAAGGATCCCCTACAGTCTCTTTTATAATCCCATCATGAAGGGATCATGCTCCTCCCTCATGATCTCATCGCTGTCAAAGGACCCACCTCCAAATACTATCACACTGGGAATCCATCACATAGTGTTAGGTTTCAAGGTATGAATCTGGTGGGGGGGGGGAGATCAAAGACATTCCATTTAGAGCAATGAAATGTAATTGTTGAGAAGTGACTGTCCCACCATGGACTTCATTTCTGAAACCCCTGCATCTAGATGGGACCACGTGACTGACTTATGGCTGGTGGAATTGAGTGAAAGGAATTCATGCCAGTTCTAGGTGGGCCCCTAAACTACCACATACGGTTCTGCACACTCTCTGTCCTTGTCTGCCAGCTGCAGGTGGACGCCCATAGCAACCTTGGAGGCCAAGTGCTGAAATGGCAGACCGCCTACGAGTCTGGGTCCCTGAAGGGCTATGGAGAATGGAGCCACTTCTCCATGGACCACGAACTGAACTTTGCATGATCTGTTAGCAAGAAATAAATATCGATTATGTTAGGCCATTGAGATTCTGGGGTTTATCTGTTATTGCAGTTAACAGTTACTTTAACATAGTCAATGACCTCTAACTTGAACAATAACATTTAATTTCCAATTACAGTGCTGGAGGCAAAGCTTGTGGGGAAGAGGAAAGAGGGAGAGGGCAGCACATCACAAAATCAACGATCCCCACCATGTATTAGTTCATCGGGTCAAAGTGTAGTGTGGACAACGGTGGCCCCCATCCTCCACAGAACACCCTGAGAACAGAAAGTTAGAATATTCACATTTTATTACTTCCAGAATGTTACCTCAAAATATAAACTACCTCATGAGCTCTAACTCTCTGCCATCACCAAGCTCATATAAACCTTAATATGATCTGATTTTGGAAGCAAATATTAACACCTGTTCAAATCCCCTGCAGAGAAGAGACTTTCCCTGAGAGGTGTTCCTGTACTCATTTTGCCAACTTCCAGATGAATAAAGCTTGGGTTTCTTTTTGCTTCTTCCAAAAATATAATTTATTATATAACATTTACAACTTGAAAAAGGATCCTAGGATATTTTCATGAATAATAATTAGAAGAGTAAAGTTCACGCTGTGGGCTGTAAAGAGGTACCACCGCCCCCCTTTTCTCTGCTGGGTGCATAGGTCAGTGGGATTTATTTGTGAGCCAGTCATTGGGAACTTGTTCTGCTCCTCCTGAGTGCTGGGGGGCTGCTCTGGTGTTTGGAAGGAAGTAGGTGCGAAAGAGGTTAGTTTCTTATATTTTAGCTTTCCTGTTTTAGAGTGATCTTTGCAAAATACTGCCTCTCTGGCAATAGTTAATGGATTTATTATTTAGTCTGGAAGACAAAGAGAAACTTCCAGATCTCTTAGTGGTGGAGACAGGAGGAGCAGTGCCCTCAGAGCCAGTGAACGCTTGGGCGCTGCCTGGCTCTCCAGGACTTGGAAATGTCAAGACTCATCACCTGGGGTGGGTGGTGGGAGGGGTCCTTTAAATTATTCTACAGAAGAACACAGGAAGGAACGGCCAGGAGGGTCACTGGTGGGCCCAGGGGAGGCTGGATTCCAAATGTTACAGCCAAAGTTGGTTGGTCACAACCCTACTCACGACTCATCAGAAGAGCTAGTCCGCTTTACTGCGGACTGGTTCATCTCTGCTAATGTAGAGTTTAGACACTGCCCTTTTGTTTTCAGAAATAAAGCCACTCTCAGTGGATTTCCAAGGTGAATCCAGCAGCAGCATCCCTCCCAAACATGGGCCTGCAGTGCACATGAGGAGCACACCTGCAGGTGTGGGGCGTGGCCAGGACCATTCCAGCTCCTCATCGGTTCATAGCCCCGCTGGGTCCTTCCCCGGGCTGCCTCAAGGAGGCCTCAACACCTCCTGGTGCTCAGGGTCAGTGGGGGTCTTTCATGTGGAATCCACCAACAAGCTCTGCCATTTTGGAAGGTGCAGGGCTTGGGCCCAACTGCTGGGGAGGGGATGGGGCTACCAGGGTGATGGGCCATAAGCAACTGCGGTTCTGGGGGTCTCAGGCCTTAGTCTCATTGTAGCTCAGTTCTGGAATTTTCAAGCTTTTCTCCATCAAGAGATAAGCTAATATCCCACAGTGGCAGCTTTTTCAAGGCACAAGAAGAATTGAGACTTTTTCTTCAAATAACAATGAGAATTTGTTCTGAGCCTTTGTGATAAGAAAGGAGAAAGAAAATCATTCCTAGAGGCAGGAAGAACAGAAAATTGTCTCAACAAAAGGCACAGACTTCTCATTATAACTTATGCTTTCAAATAAGCATTTTTGCAAGTCCATTCTTCAGTTTAAAGTAAAGTGGCTCAAAAGTCTTAGATGATCTTAGCCATGTCTTGTATTAGGAGGAAAAGTCTCGTGGGAAGCTGGTGGATGAACTCTTTGGTCCCAGGGCCCAGCCTGGCAAGCCGCTCCCCTGGTGTGCACTGTGAGGCTGTTTTGCTACTGGCTGTCTTGGGTGGGGAGTGTGATAGGGGAATCCCTCACAGGAAGGGATCCCTACTGATTCAGTAATTATCCCCCACCCCAAAATGAAAAAGCCAGGACAGATACCTGGCACCCAAATCCCTAAAGAATGTGATATTATCATGAGTTTCTCAGTATCCTTTGAATAATGCAAATATTTCTTTCATGAGACAGTTGCAAAGTTAGAACTGCAGGACCCCAAATATAAATTTCAATGATTCCCTCTCCTCCCTTTTTATTAACTAACAAACAAACAAAAAAAAAACCCTTAAACCTCTTGGGAGCATTTAATACACAAAGAAAGATCAAAGAAGCAGAAACGGCCTATCCTCTGCGGGCTGGGAAGCTTAGGGAAGAACCAGCACTTATGTACAAGAAGCGTGCTTGCACGGAGCCTGGGCCGCACTCAAGCAGCAGCGGAGGGGGTGAGTCGGGGAAGTGGGCAACCCTGGGCTTGGTGGTTAAATGAACAGGTACTGGATTATTCCGCGCAGGCGCCCACTGCCCTGGGTGACCCTGGGCGAGCTCCGAACCCTCTCCCCGCCTCTCAGGAAGGCGGGGGTAGAACCAGCGACTCCTTCATGGGGAAGCAAATTGGCCTGGGCCAGGTCTGGGGGACCGCTGCCTACTCGTGTTCTCATGGGGGCCTGCAGCTCTGCCTGCACCTGTGTAGAGAGGAGATTTTGCTATCTGCATGCCTTTTTCGAAGTTTGGGGAGACAACTTGTCTCTCTTTTCTTCTCTCTTCCTCACGTGGGCTGTCCTCTGCCACTTCTCTCCCTGCTTTCTACCCCAGTCTGGGCACTTCTCCCTCCTCGCCTCGCAGAGCTGAGGCTTCAGCAGGAGCTCCCGGGTTCCCAGCTTCCCGAGGAGGCCGCCTGGGTAGCCTGGGGCGTGGCGGGGCTGGGGTCTGCGCCCCTCTCTCCATCCACCTCCAGGCTGGGCATGCCCACTGACCAGGTCCAGCCCAGTCCTTGTCCCTGCCTTTTGCTGACCATAGCACACACCTCCGGACCCGCTGACCCACACGGCAAAATCGAGTCTGCTCTCTTCCTCAAGCACAGAGCGGAGCTGCTGGCTTCCCTCTCCCTGATTCCCTGTTCTCCGTGCGGAGTCCCGGACTTCCTCCCTTATCTCATCTTCCTCCTGTGTCTCACCTCACACCCGGCCCTGTCCTTAGCCCCGTCCTTCATGTCCTTTATCCTGAGAAAGAAGATCAACCCCACGGGAGAGAGTCTTTTCAGCGGCAACTTATTTGTCTCTTACCCCTTGAATCATACAGGTTTATTGTAATCTTTAAATCGGTCCATTCCGCCCTGTCCTATTCAGGGGCTTCCCACCCCGCACCCCACAGTTCTCCATCAGACTTCAGTTTCCAGATTCCCCCTTCCCCCAGGCGGTACATGGAAAGCTTTGTTCTGGGCTCACACTGGCTGGTCTGGGAAAGCGCCGACCTGGTCAGCTTTCGCTACCACATTAGATTTCTGCCTAGTAAATGCCCGGAGAAGCACACAGCTCCTTGGGGAACAGGAAGGATGGCTAGATTCGGTTGTGTCTTACAGGGATGACTTTCGATTTACACTTTTTTTTTTTTTTTAATAACTTTGGTCAGACAAGCCATTAAGGGCTTGACTGACAAGCCCTTAAGATCCCTTCAGATTTGGTGCAGGTCTGATATTTGCTTGTTCAGTTGGGGTGTGTGTGTGTGTGTGTGTGTGTGTGTGTGTGTCTGCATTCATTCGGTGGTTCAGTGTGCTTTGTCTTTGTGCTGAAACTCTCTCCCTCCCAGCCACATGACGGATGATGATTGCTTTTTGTGGTGCCTAATACATTGTTCTCCACTCCATGAATATTGTTACCTGACTCCCATTCCAACCCAAGGGGAATCCGGATTCACAGAGGAATAGAACCCTCTTACAAAATCTGGAGTACGATTACAATTTTACTTTTGAAGCACCCGTCTCCCGGAGGAATAGCCAGTGATCGATGCCACTGCCAGAAACCCAGATGCACACACTCATACATCAGCCAGGAAATGACATAAACAGCTCACCCAGCAGGCCGTCGCTGACCCACCCACTTGCTCCCCGGTGAGAAGAGAGGTGACAGGAAACCCGGGGCAACAGCAGGGAACAGACAAGGAGAGGAGTTTGAAGAGGACTGGGCTCCTGAAGGCCCACTTGGTGGTTTCCTTCCTCATCTCGTACTGTGGGAAGCAGTCCCAGGCTAAGGTCTATAGTGACACTGCTGTGTGACCCGGATGATGGAGAGCTGTTTCATGGGTCCTGCGAGTGCACTGCCGGCTTCTCTTCCTGGTGTGTGCACATGGGTACATACGGCTCCACACACATACCTTCATCCTTCTATAGGCACAGGTGATGGGTACACTTTCCTTTGGGGTGGATGTGGCCTCCCTACGCAAAGCTCGTGCTAGGCATTTGTCTCTTTAGAGAGCAAGTCTGTGCTGATTCCAGCAGGATGGGGCAGCAGAGACTGGTTTGTTGCTAAGAAGATGTCTGAAAGATCAGGATACGATTAGGGCAGGAGAGTGGAAAGCAGTCCAGCGGCCTGCGGGTGACTTGTGGGCGTGAGGGTGGTTTATCGATAGCGGCAGGCCAAGGCGTTGACATTCTTGACCACATAGAAGCCCATGGTGACTGGAGGGATGACCAATGTCCGGCCGGCCCGCAGGGGACGGGGCTTCAGTTCGGGAAGGGTCCCATCGTCCACCATCACTAAGGGCTGGCCGTTCAGCTGCACTGACCTACAGCGAAGACAAATAGCATGGGACTTGTCAGTGCCTCATCACAGCCAAGCCTGGGCAGCCCTGGACTGTCTGCCAGTCTGTCTGGGACTGGCCCAGGGAGCCCTTACTGACACTTCCTATACCCAAACTCTCAGCTCCGTGTTTTACTTTTGAAAAACTCATTAGAAAACTCCAGCAATGCTCCGAGAAAGAAACTGCCATGATCCCATTTTACCTAGAGTGGCTAAAGTGACTGGTCCAAGGTCATCCAGCTTGTGGGTCTGGGAGCCAGGATTTGAACACAGGCTGTCTAGTTCCAGAGACACATCATTTAGACAAGTGAAAAGTATGATGCAGAAGCTGAAAAGTGTATTACACCTACTTTTTAAAATCATGATAGCAGTTCAGTTTGATTGTATACCTGAAGAATTTTTCCCTGTGGAGTGATGCACAGGCTTAAGATGACTTCAGAAGTCTCCTTTTTAAAAGATCTCTTTAATTTATTTGAGAGATTAGAGAATGAACATCACGTTACTTGTCTAGGTTTGTTCTGAAGGAGGAGAGAGACACTTAATGATTCTCCTTTTTCTGAGAATGAGTTTTCAAATCTATTTTTTTTTTTTTTTTAAGGAGAGAGAGAGTGCGAGCGGGGGTGGAGGGACGGAAGGAGAGGGGGAGAGATAATCTTAAGTAGGCTCCATAACCAGTGTGGAGACCAACTCGGGCTCGATCTCATGACCCTGAGATCATGATTAAGAGTTGGACTCTCTGGGACGCCTGGGTGGCTCAGTTGGTTGGACGACTGCCTTCGGCTTAGGTCATGATCCCGGGATCCCGGGATCAAGTCCCACATCAGGCTCCCAGCTCCATGGGGAGTCTGCTTCTCCCTCTGACCTTCTCCTCGCTCATGCTCTCTCTCACTGTCTCTCTCTTGAATAAATAAATAAAATCTTAAAAAAAAAAAAAGAGTTGGACTTTCTACTGACTAAGCCACTTAGGTGTCCTTTATATCTCGTATTTTACGGATGTTTCTGTTCCAGCAACATGGTGGAGTAGGTGATAAAGTAGGGGTTTTCTAACTCCCGCTCACCCATCCTGCTTGCTTTTCTTCTTCCTGTGTACCAGCCGTCTTCAATCCTGAGAAGAGGGCCACATACAGAGTACACTTAGGAGAAAGGGAAGTAGCTCATCACCCATCCTTGGCCTGTGGTACAGAATCCAAAAAACTTCCCAGCTGTTCCTGGAATGACTTGCACAGCCATGTATCCAGATTGAAGCTCAGTTTTCTGGGTCAGAAGAAAAGGCCAGAGCCAGACCACCCTAGAAATAAGGCCGTGAGTCACCCTCAGAAAATCAGTGTTGCATAGTGATGACTGTTTTGGGGTCCTGCCCGACCTCCAATGTGATGACAATGCAGTAATATTATCTGAGCTGTAAAGAGAATGAAATGTTACACACTGATATAGAGGTCTTTGTTCCGTGTTCCTGCTGTTCTGTGAGTGGTAGACAGGTTTGGAGAGAGATGGTCAGCACAGCAGACTGGAGAATTCCCAGAGATAAGTGAGCTGTGAGTTGCTCCCAACAGAGGGCAAGGCAGGGAGGCAGGTCCAGGCCTGGTCCCACATGGATAAGTTTGGGTCTGATCCAGATCCAACAGGCCAGAGAGACAGCCACCCTCCTCTTATTGGTGTGACTAAGGAATGACAGAGTGAGCAGGGGACTCCTGTGTGGAGAGCCAGACCTGCCTCTGGAAAAGTACAGAAGTAGAAGAACTGAGATCTGGTAAGTATTGACCTCATCAAACCTGGAAGGAACTTTTGCTCCAAATTTAAGTGACTACCTCTGGTGAAGAGAGCCTATTCACTGGACTGGGAGGTGGGGTAAGGAGAAGGGGTCCAGTTGCAAAAGACAAAAAAAAAAAAAAAAAAAAAAAAAAAGCCAGAACAGGTCTTCACTGTGTACTTTCATTATTTTGTTTCAGGGGGTGTGATATCCAACAACCAGACATATATATGCACCATCAAATACAAGTTCAATAATACTAATTAATCTTTTCAATGCATCCTCAGTTAATATCACTGCTTTACTTGAAGACCTTCAATGATCCCTCTTGCATACAGAACTGTGAGCAAGCCCTCCCCATAAGGAATGAGGTAATGTCCTTTTAGCATCACACCATCCCAGAGCATTGCTCTATGTCTGGGTTCTGGGAAGTGTCATAAGCAAGCCTTTGAATGTCTATATTGTTATTCTCTAACAGGACCCATTCTACTTTCCTTGTTGGTTATTTGTAAAAAGCTAACCCAAGTGTGGGTTGAACCAGAGGGCATGGTTGAGATTCTGGGGACAGATCTCTAATTCCAGGAGCCCAGTCACTCACTCAGACAAGTCACCTCCCTTCCAGAGCTTTCCCGTCTGTGCAATTGCTATAGGCTCCAGGACCAGGGACATGAAGTACAAAGCATGGGACGCTCTGACAGCATAACCAGTCCCGCAAGTAGGAGATGGGATTTTGTTATTAATTCTTTTCACCATAGCTGTGAGTAAACTTATCGGTCCTTGTACTTGACTGCTCTTGGGACTGACAAGTTTCAAGGCTCCTTCTTCAAGTCCTCTCTTCCCTTGGTTCCCATGGTATCTCTGTCTCTCTCTCACCCCCATTCTCCTTCTCCTTCATTTCTGCAAGTGGTTGTCTGTTAAGAGGGACTGTTCGCTTCTACCTGCCTCATATATTGGGGTTCTTGGTGCCTTGTCCTTGGACCTCTTCTCCCACACTCCATACTCCCACTGAGTGCTGTCACCCACACCCAGAACTTTGTTATCCATGTCAATTCTCCCCAAACATAGCCTAGATCCTTCTTCTGACTAATGTCATCTCCACTTGGCTGTCCCACAGGAACTACAAAGCCACTATGTCCAAAGTAAAAATGGTCTCCTCAAACCCTGTCCTTTTCTTAGCCTTTTTTGTGTTGGGGCCACCATCTACCCAATGACCTAAGCCAGAAAGCTGGTCATCTGGGATTTCTCCCCCAATTCCCACGTTGGGTGTCACAAAGTCAATTTTACCTTTTAATATTTTTCATATCTGCTTCTTTCTCTCTGCTACTGCTACTACCTTAGTTCAGAACTTGCCATGTAACCGATCTCTTTGCCCCCTGCCTTGCCTTCCTCCTGCTGCTTGCCACATTGCTGACAGAGCAATCAATTTCTGTCACCGCTTTAAACTCTTCAGCATCTCCCCGTGCCTTCCACTTTCACGTGGACAATGAAGCCCCATTCTGGCTAGCTCTCCGGTCTTGGGTCCTGCCAGTACCCCCAGCCCCAATGCTAACTACGGCTCCCTGGCCTCTGGGGGTGAGCATGGGCTGATTGGCTGTTCTTTTCAGGTCATCGCCAACATATGCATGAACAAAGATTGTTTCACAATGAAAAGCTAGTTAAATCTTGCTCATAAATGAAATAAATAGTTCTCAAATGACAACGTAAGTAGATATTGTTGGGAATGAAGTATGAAAGTTCATTTAAAAGTATAGTAAATATTTTTCAAGTGTAAGTACCAGTAGACACTGTTGGGATTAATAAGACACAAGTTCATTTAAAACTGTTATAAAATTCCTAATAGCTTTTTTGGGAGGAGTGGGGCATCCTGTGCTTTTTTCAAGCAAGAGATTTTAAAGATTTTATTTATTTATTTGAGAGAGATAGAGAGAGAGCGAGCAGAGGTGGGAGGAGCAGAGCCTGACACAGGGTGGGGCACTCAACCTCAGGACCCTGAAAGCATGCCCTGAGCTGAAACCAAGAGTCAGACACTTAACCGACTGAGTCACCCAAGTGCCCCTCAAGCAAGAAATTTTTTTTTTAAGATTTTATTTATTTATTTGAGAGAGAAAGAGAGAGAAAGAGAGAGCATGAGAGGGCAGAAGATCAGAGGGAGAAGCAGACTCCCAATGGAGTTGGAAACCTGATACGGGACTCGATCCCAGAACGCCGGCATCACGACCTGAGCCGAAGGCAGTCGCCTAACCAACTGAGCCACCCAGGCGCCCTCAAGCAAGAGATTTTAAAAGGACAACTACTGTAATGTGGGAGGATGGTGACATAAGCTGACATCACTACGGAACCCTGGTCCTTTTATAGGCCTGGCCCCCTTGCCCCGCAGGACCAAAGTAAACAACGTGCAGTTCCACTTCACAACTCACCCTCCTCCCCTGTCGGACTAACCACATTGTGTCCTTACAGAACCTGCTCAGGTGTTGTCCTTTCTGGGGAAACTTCTCTGATCTCTGGGCTGGGCTAGGAGCTCCAACTCTGGATTCTCTTCTACCCCAAACTTATCTATGACTACCTCACTGAATTGTAGTGACTTACTCACTATCCCCCTCACTGGGCTGTGAGCTTGGTGAGAAAAGGGATCATGTCTTTCATCCCTAACTCCTCGCTGCCTAACAAGGTGCTCGGCCTGGAGGAGGGATGAAATATCTTTGAACAAGTGAATGAACTTTGAGGTTCTTTTGCACTACTTCTTATCTTTGAGGTGGAGTTTCTCCAGCTTCAGAGAGGCTCCCTGGAGGTTCGCTGAGTGTCTTTACAGATTTCATTAACCTACCAATTACTCTCTCGCTCTCAGTGGCTCTGGAGATATGAGATAAGACCTGAATTATTGCTGATTCTCAGTCACTTACCAGATACCTTATCCCAACCTGACAGGAGGCCATTGATTACGGATAGTATTTTTCTTCCTTAAAAAAAAGATCCATTTGACCATCTCTTAACTAAGCCAACATGAGTTAATTCAGGGAGACCCTGAGTCTCCACATATCCTCATCTATAAATTCCCTCCGTTATAGACAGGCCACATACTTTACCACCTCCATTCTATTTTTCCTGCTTACATTTTTATTTTAATATTTATCCTATTACCCAGTGAAGTCATATCATGCTAAATATTACAATAGTCTTTCATTTTTATGAACAATTTGTAAGTTTGAAAACATAGTCACACTGATGATAAAAATCAT